CAGGTTCTCGGCGCCCTGCAACAAGGGGACGAGAGTTGAAGCCGACAAGAAAGCTTCAGGTGCCGCCTCTGCCCCGAGATCCTCCACTCGTCTTCTCTTGGGGTCGATCTTGACTCGGACGACGAGGTTGGCTTCCTCCATGCCCGGCCTCTGAGACGCAGAATCCACAAGGGTGCTTGCAAAGTGACTGCCACTTGCTTCCATTTCGGGTTTGCCGACCTACCGGATCATCACGGCTTGACCGGCCTGATAATTTTCGTCACGGCTCCGAGAGGGCACACGCTCGGTAGGCAAACAGAACAGTAACTGTGCACACAAAAGGCCCACAGCATTGCAACAGACAACAAAGAAACAAGAGCATCCGATGCGCACATTTGAGCTGCAGCGGAACTGCATGAGGAACAAGTAGAAGCCAGCATCATCACGAACGATGCTCAATATGTCGGCAAACGTCGCGGAACGTGCAACGCAAACCCAACCGGCATCATTACCGAGGGCTTCCTCGATTTGGTTTTGACTCGCCTTGGTGGCTCGGTGACTGGATTCGAGGAGAGGACACGTTGGCTCGAGCTCCGTGCTCTGACCCGTCGGATCCCCCTGCCGGAATCTGCTCTCCGGGCTGGGGTTTCCGATTCGGCCAGTTCGTACATGCAGCCGCATCGAGCTGCCTCCTGACTCTACGGATTTTGACAGCACGTGCTACTACGGACTGCCTCAGTCTTCCCCAGCATGGCAGTGTCGTGACTACCCGTCTTCGAGACCGGGGCATCCAGTCGAAAAGTACGTTGCTTTCGTAGTTCGCATCTACCGAAACCCCTTTGGCGTTGTGGAGCAGAGAAGCTTCTGGGGTTCACACACGACCGGCGGCAGCGGATCCTCGCTTGAAGCTTGCCTCGCCAGTACCATAAGCTTGACCAAACCACTAAGCATCCAAGGCAGAGCTGAGATCTCGACTCCTCAGGGGAAGCTGGCTCAGCTTCGGCTATCGAAGGCAGAGTGAGCCCGACCTCCATGCAAGGACTTCTTCCCATCTTTGCTATTCTGCTCTTCGCGAGCCTCGACCGGATCGACGGCGTCAGTCTCCGGCCTGGTGAGTTTGAGCAAGCAGCATCCAAAGAGGAGACAAAGGCGATCTAGGCCCCTGGCTGCGTCTCAGCCTCCTCCGGCTCTGGTCCCGTCAAGGGGGTGAAGAGCTCCTTTACGACGTTACGAGGGTGTGGCAACCTGGTGGCCTGCGAACCGCCTGCAACCAGCACACGAAGGACTGTCCTTCACCTTTTCTTCGACGATTTGCAACGGTGTCCTGAACTTGTGGGGCTTCACGAATGCATCCCCACTAGAGCAGGGAAGACTGGGAAATAACTTCTGGGGCACTGACTCTGGAGGCCTTGCAACCTCCGCAGCTCTTGCGAGCGCATCTGTGCAGTCCTGGGTAGACCTGGTCTGACTCCGCACACTCGCGTGCCCTGTTTGCCCAGGCCTCACTGAGACCCGTGCTGCGTTCCGTAACTCTTGACAAAATATTCCATGATGTTCGTGAGGCCGGGCACCTGGAAGAAAGTCGGATGCTCGAGACAGTTCAACTCGTGACACATGGCAAGTGCCTTCGGCAGCTTGATGCCAACCTCGACGTAGTTGGTTGCGACTATCTCGTCGCCCTTCCAGCCTCTGCATGATCGTGGATGGGAGTAGACCGTAGCAGTAGTAGCAATAGAATTCGTGAAGGTGGTGGTAGTCGAAGGCATGGTCATAGTCGCGGTCGCAGTCGTAGCCACTGCGGGAGTCGTAGTCGTCTTAGACGCAGCCGTAGCCTAGCCGCATTAGATGCGGTCGTCCTCGTCGACGTTGTAGCGGCAGCAGGAGAAGCAGTAGCAAGGAGCAAGAGCAGGAGTCGGAGCAAGGAGCAGGAGTGGTAGGAGTAGGAGTGGCAGTAGCATTTGCAGTGGCACTGGCAGTAGCAGTGGTAGTTAGCAGTAACTAGTAGCAGTAGGAGTAGCAGTAG